CTCCGGCTGTGCTCCCTGGGACAGCACTGGGGCACTGGTGTGCTGGTGACACTGGTGGCCATGGCTGTCACTGTGCTGGTGATCCTGGTCATTGATCGGCACCAGAGGAAGGTGAGGGGTGCCAATGTGGATTTCCTCCTCCTGGGACCCAGGTTGTTCCCTAKTTGCTGAAAAAAATCCAATTTTTGGGGAGGAATGAATATTTTTACAGCACTCAGGGACCAGGCTGAGGCCAGGAATGTTCTACAGCCAAGGTGACAACCCTGCCCTGCCCTCATCCTGCTCAGGTCCCTCTTTTCCTTTCAGAAATTTGGGATAATTCAGCTGCAGTCTGTAGCCATGGGCTGATCTGAGTTCTGCTGCAGAGGGTGTGATTTTTTCTTGCTATTTTCTGTGCTGTTTTCCCTCTTTAACAGCTAAAYRTGAACACAGATGTGAGACTGGCAGCTGTCAATGAAATCTTTATCAAACACAACTTAATCCTGGGAATTACAGATGTCCTGGATGGGCCACGCAACATCCTAAAAGTATCCTTTCTGCTGGGAATTGTTCAGGATATCCTCCTGGATATATTTCTCCCAGTGTGCAGGTATTTATTAATGTTGTGGGGTAGAATTCCTAGGATCTGGTTTGTTTTCTATGGGATAGCATGAGGAATTGGATGTTTTTATTTCTCCTGTAAGTGGGAATTGAGGTTTGCTTAAAGGTAATTGGAAATAATGAATCTAAAGGATTGAGGTGGGATTCCTTAGGGCAGATAATTATTCCTGAAAGTCTTTTATACTTGTGTGACACTGATGATTCTTACTATAGACAGAATGACAAAAATGTGCCTATGGCAAAAAAAAAACCCAAAATTGCAATAGAACCAACAGGGAGAAAATCAGAGTGTCCCCCAAACACTCCAATATGGAGAAAAATAGAATCCCCATCCCTGGGCTCATTTGCTGCTTTCCAGAGATGSTTTTTCTGGACCAGAATGGATTTAGGGGAATGGAGAGAGTTTTAAAACTCCATGAAAGTGTTAAAGGAAGGTGAGAGGGAGAGGCTTGAGATACAAACAGAGAGGGAAGCCAGGGTGAAGCCCAGGGGCAGGGCAGGGGACAGGGAACACTGCAGGAGGGCAACATCAATCAGGATGAGGAAGAAACCCTTTTCAACCTGAATTCCACATTTATTCAAACCAGCAGAGTCCATTAGAGGATTTAATCCAAGGAGCCCTCACCTTTACCTGTCCCCAAACTGCCAGAGAGCAGCAAAAAACCCAGGGATTTCCAGCTCTGTGTCTGTCCAATGTCAGATCCCCTTTAACCCCGGGATGTGGCACTTTCCCTGGATCCCTGTGCCCTGGCAGGTGCAGGGGATGCACAAGGACAGAGCTGTGGCTGCCCTGGAGCTGGCAGGACTCACATCCCCACCACGGTGCTGAGGAGGTGTCCTAAGGGGAAGCGCCAGGCAYGGCCAGTTTGGGGAAATAAAGGGAGGGAAACCCTAGAAACAAAGGCAAGGTAGCAGGGAGGGGTTTAGGGGAGATATGGCACGGTGCCCCACAGTTTATTTGGGTGTCAGTTATTGAGATGGGTAATGAGCAGTGGTCCAGGGGGAGGGAGGGGCACTGGCTCCCCTCTGGGCACTCCCCTTCCCTGCCACTCTTCTCCTCCCCATTATCTTGGAGTTTTCTCCTRGCCCAGACCCTCCAGGCTCAAAGCTACCCCTGATCTGGGTTATTTAGGTCCTGGTTGCCCTGAGCACCCCATGGCCATCATCTGCCTCAGCTCTGCTCCCTGCCAGCCCATCCCACTGTCCCCACAGGGCTGGGAGGGTGAAACACGGACAGATTCCATCCTGAACCTGCCCCTTCCAGCTGTGGTTTGTGCACTTCAGCCCCGAGCGCTGCCTGCAGGCCCTGTCAGCCCTCATCTCTCACCTGCAGGGGACACAGCAGGTAAGGGACAGC